TTGCTGAAGGTTCTTTGGTGTGAGTGTTGTCTTCTTGAAGTATTGTTGTTTCTGAAAGATTTACAAAGCAAGTGCTTCAGCGATCACTGAACATACTCAGTGAAGATCGCTGGAACTGAAAATACAGAAACACAAATACAACGTGAAAGAGAAAAGGGATTATCATCAAATCACTGAAAGAGAGGATCAACAAAAAGGAATACTAAAATACTGAATACATAACTAATGTCGTACCTTTCTCAAACTTTTCAATATCAACTATGTTTTCTTCAACTGCAATTTGCTGACTAGGGCCTTTTAGCCAATCTTGTGTACATATCAGGGCTTCTACCATTTTAGGAGATAGAGAACTCCTAAAATTATATAAGACCCGGCCACTAGTACTAAAAGTAGACTCAGATGCCACAGTTGAAATTGGAACAGCAAGCACATCTCTAGCCAATTTTGAAAGAATAGGAAACCTTTCACTATTAACCTTCCACTATCTTAAAATATCAAAATCGTTTGTCTCATCTATGGTCGACTCACTTAGATAAAGTTCAAGTTCACTCTTTTTGTTGAGTGAAGCCCCACTTTCCATCTTTTGTTTCTTAACTTGGCTCTTTAATATAGATTGTACCCTTCCAACGGGAACATTCTCACACTTAGTGGGTGGAGGAGGCATCATAGTGGTAGAAGGTTCGGAATATGTTGACACATACTCTTGAAACAACATATTCAATTTAGACTTTACCTTTTCAAAACATGACTTACCTTGATCCTCACCATACATTTGATTGAGCTGGACTTGCATGTACTCAACCTTGTCTCTGGGGTCCAATATATTGTCAAAAAATATGATGAAGTTCACCTTATCTGGATCACCCCAATATTTACTGAACTTCTCTTTCATTTATCACCCATTTCCTGTTCATAAATCAAAAACAAAAAGTTAGTAAACAACCAAATATAAGTAAATAGTAAAAATAATATTAAAGGAAGATAAACATACCTCTTCAACTTTCAACGTAGATTGTAACATATCGGCAATAATGCAACTCAAATCTGAAATCTCGTTTAAGAAAGAATTTGAGGTGACATAAAGTGAGCCAGAAATTCTAATTGTCATCTCATAAAATGTCTTCAAAAATATGACCAAGCTGTCAACAGATAACCAATCAAGATATGAAGGCACCGAATCACCTAAATCCAAATGTAACGCGTTGTCACTACTCTCATACGTTTCAAAAACTTGTCTGTAACCTATTGCGGTTCGAAGCATCATATAGGTGGAGTTCCATCTAGTTGGAACGTCAAGACATAAAGAACTTTTCTCTTCCACTTCAAGCAATTCTGCAAGTTCTCTAAACTTATTCAACCTTCATGAAGAACCCCTCACCCACCTAATGTAATCCCTAATCTTCTTAACTGATGAATCTACTAATTTCAATCCATCTTGTACAACCAAATTAAGAATATGAGCAATGCGTCTCATATGTATGTACTCTGCCCTAGTAGAAGAACCACCCCAATTCACCACCTTCTTCTTTATGAACCCAACGACAATGTCATTGTTAGATGCATTATCAACTGTGATGGTGAAAATATTTTTCACACCCCAATCAAGCAAACAACTCTCTATGGTCTTAGCTATACTTTCCCCTTTATGTGAATGTATAGGCACAAATGAGATGATCTTTTTATTTAATTTACACTCATCATCAATAAAATGTGCAGTGACACACATATAATTGATTATTTGAACAGATATTCATGTATCAGTGGTCAAACTAATTTGATGCATACTTGACTTAAACAATTTCTTAAGATTGGTTTTCTCTTCAAAGTAAATACTGAATATATCCCTATTAACTGTCCGTCTAGAAGGGATCTTAAATCTAGGGCATACAGTCTTAACAAACTGTTTAAAACCTCTCCCTTCAACAAACCTAAATGGAAGTTCATCCATTATAATCATTTTCGCTAATATCTTTCAAACAACCTCTTGGTTAAAAACCCAAGAGGTCAAAGCACCATCACTATTCTCAGATTTTGCAGATTGAAATGCAAGAATTGACTGCTTTGTTTCCTTAGCATGTGGATTCTTTAAACAAGCTTTCATGTGGTTATTTAAAGAGGAAGTACCATGCTTTTTAGCCTCAGCTGCAATACTTTTGAACAATATAAGCACTTACCTTTAATGACTAGCCCATCCTCGTTTAAAATCTTCTCAAAATGGTCCCATACTTGAGATTTGGATTCTAACGTTTTCCTTCTCCTTGTACTTTTTGGAACAGATTGACTTACGATAGGATTAGATTGTAAAGGAGGAGCTTGATGACTGTTACTTACGGACTGAGACGTGCTAATTTTTTCCATCTACAGTTCTAAATATCGGTATGCTAGAAGAATTTGATGAATAAAAAGTAAAAACCCTCCCAAGTCCCAATCTTGTGCAAAGGTGCAGATTGAAAACGGTAAGCATAGCTGTTGTGTATAAATCAATATCTAGTTGCATAAAGCAGTATACGAATTTGATGATCTTATTTCATATCAATTATTATTAAACAAAACAAGGGTTATCATGTAATATGCATCATTGGCTTCTGAAATTTTATAGTTTTCGGTAGACTAGCATACCAGAATCGTTTGTTGTATCAAGTTCGTTTTTGTAAACTATTCAGAGTTGATCATCCATTTAAAGAGTTAAACCATGATTAGCAAACTAGTATTTAGCTAGGACATATGGAATGGAGGGTTATTTAGCTAAACGACCTCCTGACAAAATAACAAGAAAATCAAGTCGAGCCTTTATCATATTGCAACAACTATACCTAAGTTTATAAACTTGTATACAGCTGGTTCTAAATATCCCATCTGCCCAATTTCCCATTATAAAGCTGCAATTGAGAAAGATCTAGGCTTTGCATCAAGATAGTGGCCACGCATCAAACTAACTAAACCATCAAATGCATCCAATTTTCCATATCAAATAGATATGAAACAGTGTTGCCATAATCATGTGATCTACATACCAGTTAAACATAATTATGATTCTATGAATGGTGACTTACCTTATACAATCACGACATAGTATTTACAAATGTGAATGGAAGAAGTTCCTTTTTACATTTAGAGCAATTAACAATTGAAACCATTAAGGAGAGTTTCTTTTTTACATTTAGAGCAATTAACAATATGGGGGATAAGAGTAGGAGAAGGACCTTACTGTTAACGCCCAACAGTCAATCGTCGTCACTCGTCAACGCCCAACAGTCAATCGTCGATAGAGGGCTGTGCAGCCGGTCAGAGTCGGACAGCAGTAGTCGGCGGTCAGTCTCTGTACTCTATAGTTTACTAGTTCGGGTATGGTATGGCCGTATTCTCTTCTCTTCTCTTCTCACGTCAATTTTGACCCTAAACCCTAACATAAGTCGCCTCAATTTAACAATTTTGACCTAATCTAACACAAGTCGCGTCCTGGGCCGTTCTTAATATTTTGTCTAGTTCGGGTTTCAGGCGGGTTCGGGGGGTGGGTGGTGAGACCCTACCCGATCCGCCATACCCAAGTTATATTTTGGATTCGGATATCGGGTGGTTTCGGGGTTTTTTCTGTCAGTTCGAGTTGGGTTTCATCGGGCGGGTAAGTCGGGTAATTCGGGTTGGGCGGGTTTTGCACTCCCTACTTACATATATCCAATAAATTATCAAAAATACTTCAAACACAAATTGATAGTAGTTTTTTTTTTTGTTAACCATGGATGTCCGGACCAACTTGCACGCACCTCGACTAATTCCAAGAGCCTTGGAGGATAACCAGGAAAATCCTAAGTGCTCTTGCGGGACTCGATAAATTGACCTCTAGAAAGGATTCTCAAAGGCTCAAACCTTAGATTCATGTATTACCAGTTAAGCTAACCCTACAAAGTTTACTGTTCAAATCCGGTTCATAATCCTATTAGGAGGACTGTTTATGGTTTTGATCATAAAAGAGGGACCATATATGTAAAACATAAAAGTCCACAATGGACAGCGATGGCGCATTCACGGGGTTCTTTGAATGGCGACTTTGCTAGATTGTCTATCAGAGGCTTCGTCGGTTTTCTTCATTTTAGAAACAATATATCGTCATTTTCCGATCACCGGAAAGATTTTCTGGTGATCGGACTCACCGCCAGGCCGTCGGTTCGATAAGCCATGAATTCACCGGAGCGAATAATGGAGTCAACCAACAACAACGAAGATGAGGGGAAGAGGGGTTCTTTTGTGTACCTATTGCTCCGATGCTGTTTTGTCTCTATATGTTTTTTAGCTTTGGTTGCCTTTACGCTTGTGGCTTTAGCAGTGATCGTCAGCAACCTCTCGATTTCGTATCCAATCTCTGTCCCTTGCCAGTGCAAAATAGTATCCAGCAGTAAGTTTTTTTCTTGATTGCTATCAGTGTTTTGCTATTAAGAAATGAAGAAAGGTTAAATTTTAGGGTTTAAAATGAACCGATGAATTGAATTCATGCAATTTGAGGAGAGCTGCATAGAGATTATAGTGCAAATCTGATTACCTAATTTCTGTTAAATAGTTCATTGTTTGTTCAGAACAATTGAAAATTTCACAGATGGTGTCTATTTGTTTGCCGAAATGTGTTTGTTAAGTACTACATCGATTATACAAACAGTAGCACTTTCACTTTTGCTGTCAGATGGGTCAAAATCTTGAATTTGAAGTTTCACATGTTTCAATTTTTGATCATTGGTTGTAGTTTCTAATTTAACATAATCTCCTGGTTTCGGCAAAATCTAAATATGGTTATATCAAGTTCGGATTCCAGAATAACTCATTATGGCCACAGAACTTAAAACACATCTGAATTTGTTGCACCTGATGGAGTATCGGTATTAGCTTCATTGGCTAGAGGTTTCCTGCTTTTATGTTGGTTCTTATCCATTGTTGTTTCTCGTATGTGGAAAGCCATGGTGCTAACTATTCACATGTCACACATGGCTTTAACGACTATATCTTGTTATACATTATGAGTTATGATCTAAAGTTAAAAAGAACCAAATGCAACATTTATGATGTTCTCTTTCTCTTTCTCTGTCTCTCTCTCTTTTCTTCATTTTTAATTTCGAGCAATTTTTTTGTGGAACTCAAACCAAATATATTAGCCGAAATAATTTGGGCCTGTTAGAAGACTTTGATTGGAAGTTTGGAACTGATCAACTGAGAATGAGATCAGGTTCTTGAATTTAGTTAAAGAGCTTGATGTGGACATGCCACTTGAACACAACGAACCAAACCATCATATGGAGTTCTTGAATTCAATAGGTTTCTGGATGTAGCTAGCAGTTCATGAACCTGTAAATTTAAAGGAGTATTAACTTTTCAACTTTTCCCCAAGGAGGTGGTAAGTTTTTGAATGTTAACCAGGGATTCAAGAGATTTAAATTGAAGAAGGTGGTACAGAAGCAAGTTTTTACATTTCCAAACTGACATGGGATTTATACAACACAACAAATGACATGTGGGGTGTTTTCAGAGAAAAACAAGGTGGAACCATGCATTTAGCTACGTGGGTTTCAAAGAGTAAACACTCATATGACTTCCTCAATGACACCTTATTCAACTTGACACCGCACCTCGCCGGTGATCTTTTTCCATCTCCGTTACAGCTGTTTCAGGCCATGTCATTCCATATTATCAGTCCATTAGCACTAGACTCGAATTATCATCATGTCACATGACCTTTCCTGATCGACTTATTGTACCCTCTCTCCTCTGCTAGTTAAGCTAGTCATCAAATTTTTTAACAACCAAATCTCCTGCTTGGTTATTCAATTTAGGTGGTTTGGCTTGTACAACTCAATTGTAGACACAGTTTGGCGATAAATGGGACTCAACTAGTTGACTGACTCATGTTTATCTTGAATTCTCCTAATCATTCAATAAAAGTTGGAAGTTATAGTTAGAGCCATTCTTCTAAGTGTAGATTGAGTTTGATCAAGAGTTATCATTTATGAGTTGGAAGATGGTTTGAGTATTGGGTTTAATCTGGAGTAGATAATTATCCAACACTTCTTCTGATTCATATTCACAGAAAATTGTTTACTTGATATACCGAAGGTTCTTCCATTTCATTCAGACAGGCTTGGGAATACTTAAAGATCTTTGGATATCTGATGCACATGCGCATGTAAGGCTAACAAATCTATTTGGACTTGACACTTCCCCAGCATGTCTAGGAACCTCTCGAGTAAGATTTTCCATGTTCATTGCCGCCATAGGATCTATTCGGTTCAAGTGTTTACTGCCGAGGCAAATACTTCCCGTCTTCGGAAAGTGGGGTGTGATAGTGGACCAACGGAAAAACGTAGTCACGGACTGTGGTATAATGCACCCAAAAAGGGAAGAGCTCCTTCTCAATCCCATTCGTACCATGTCTACTTCTTTACTATGGATCATGTCTTCGGAGGCTAATGTCGGTGAATTTGGTTAATATGACATAGATCGGAGAATGGTTAATCTAAAATTGATTGAGACACCCTCAACTTCCACTTGTCAATATAGGGTTCAAATTGACTGTCGAAGTGAATCCAAGCAATCTGAAGGCAGCTGTTTTCGCAGAAATTACATTGTGAATCTGATTGCCTACTTTCAACTAGATTATGTAGTCAAAACATGGGTCTGATAGTTAGGATAAAGTGTCTCTGTCTGTGTTATATATATATATATATGTGTGTGTGTGTGTAAGTATGTAATTTTTTGTACTATCTCAGCTTTAGTCTTCTAGAAATGAGGTCTTTGACCTATGTGTTCAAATCGATCACTTTGGAATTTAAAGTTGACATCTTCCATGTATTTTCATTTGTTATAGTTTTTAGTTTGACATAACCTTCTTGTTTACTTCAAAATTTTAATAAGGTTAGTATCAAGTTTGGATTCTATAAAAACTTGTATAATCACAAATGTGAAAGCGTGTCCCTGATTTTCGAATTGGGGAGTATCTTTATTTGCTTGACGTGGTGTAGTTAGTGGTTTTATACTCCTCTTTTTATTAAATAACCTTTCTTGTTTCGAGTATGTGGAAGTCCATGATGTTACTTATTATATATCCATTGGGTTTTGGGCTTTAGATATTTGGATTTTTGAAGATCATTTGAGTGGTTATTCCTTATAAATTCTACATCCACATAACGTTTTTCCTTCTTGTAGTTTTTGAGTTTCTTTGTGCATACGAATCTTTACCAACTGAAACAGTAAAAGTAGCTAGGTCAGTTACCCTTTTGGAAGAATAACAAATTAACCACAGTAGATAAGAGCATCGTGAACCAGGAGTGTTTCAAAATCCAGTGGTGTCAAAAGGAATTTTGTGTAGGATGCATTATTATAAAGTAAGAAGATAGCTACAGATGTTTACATTGGTCTGTTTGTTGAGTGCGGAACATTTTATATATCAAGCACGGGCCTAGCACAGAGTTTAAGTTGAAACTGACCCAACGAAGATGACATAAGGTTCTCCAAATTGTTTCAAGTTGCCTGCTAATGCTATGAACATACCTTTCAACAAACATACGCTCAATAGAGATCTGGAATTCATCAGATTCTGAACATAACTACTATTCAAGAAACAGTAAATTGGGAGAGGAGTAACTTTTTTACTTCTTCCGGAAGGATATGGTAGGTTTATAAGTTATAGGAGAGAAACAACTTTTCATGTTTTCGGAAACCAATACTGGATTCATTGCAATTGATGGCATACCACGCATGTGTAGTATTTACAGAGGAAGATAAGGCACAATGGAGTAATTTAGCTATGGGGGATTTTGAAGAACTCTATATAGCATTAACTGAATTGGAATTACTCCCTATCAGCAAATTCTATGTTACTACCTTCAGTCGGTGTTCTCTTATTTTACATCTCAAAATACTTGTAAGCAATATGAAAAATGAAAAATGTATATACTGATATTTAGGGAGGATCCTAAAAGGTTAGAGATCTTCCACCCCAAGTTCCTGAACTTTATTTCAAAGGAAACGTAGCGGTGTTACTCACAGGGGCTTGAATGCTATAACAGAAATTCATATACTCTCCCTTCCGTGTCACACCTTATTTTGTTTCCTACTTTCTGTTGATTGTGATTACAGTAAATAAACACTGAATTTTTTGTTTTGCTCTGGTATAGGGAGTTCACTCAGGTGTAAGCATAGTAGTGGAAACTTGACCCCATTTCATAGATATTGGCCTAACTGCTCAGAGACTCAGAGTAGGCTTTGATTGCCTGCTTGTCTGCCACTTTGACTTGTTTAGCAACATATTCTCTGTTCTCTCTCATTTATAAGAACAGGGTAGTACATGGATGCTAGTTTATTTCTGGATTGTACTATTTTGGGAAGTCTTTATGCTTCGTGACTATCTGTTAGGTTTTACACCAATAGGCTATAATCCTTGTTTGAAATATAAACAAAGATGATGAACATTGCATGTCGTGTTAATACTTTTCATAAGCTCATTTAATATGTGTAGGATTTATGACAAATCTTAGATTTTTTGCAGGTGTAGATATTAGGTCAGCCAAAGTCTGCGAACTTGGATTGCTAAATTATAAAGCGAAGCATGTGTTTTACCCATCTGAGAAGAAAAAATTCCGATGTCGCTACGATTATTATTGGGCTTCTGTATTTGAGGTCATTTTCTACTTCAGGCTCTTTCACATAATTGCACTATATTATTAAAAACTATGGAGTTCACTTGCTGTCACAGCTTACAAAAAACATGTTTTATAAACATAGATTTTATCTAATTCAAAAGCAATATATTATTGTAAGTTATCAAATAAATAGCTTGATTTGATTCCTAAGATCTGCAACTTTTCGCTCACATCAAGTGATGTTATCATCTTTTTTCTGGTATTGCCAAATGTCATGATTGCACTTCTCTTGAGAATCCATGAAGACTGATGAACTGTCTTTTATATATATATATATTGGTCCACCCCAGGTAGAATATACAGACCATTCTGGTCATCCTCATATAGCATTTGCAGAAGCTCCAAATGAGGCCCTCCCACCTGATTGCAGACCCACATTTAATGCTGCATGGATGGCCAAAGATAGATTCAAGGTATTCCTGGTGACTTATGCTCTCACATGATGTGTGAACTTTGAAGTTCTTTCAGTTATAAGTTTATCCAAAATGTTATGATATGCTAGAAGCTGATGTCATTTCTTCTATTTCATAGACACCAAGGGCTCGTTTGGTTTGACGGAATGTTTTGAGGGATTTGGATTTCGTGGAAGGATTTGAATTCTTTGGTGTGTTTGGTTTGTAGGATTTGGAATGGAATTGAATTCCATTCTTTAAAAATAATGAGTAAAACAAATTATAAAAATAATTATATTACCTTTTTATTAATCGATTATTACAAAACAAGTGTTCTTAACATATTTTAAAACATTATACAAACAATCCTATGAAATCCCTCAAATTACCAACTATCCTCATGGGATATTTAAATCCGATGTTTGTGGGATTTCAGTGAAATCCTGGATTCCAAATCCAAGCATTCCTTCAAACCAAACATAGGACTGAAATGGAATTCAATTCCAAATCCTATCAAAACGGGACTTAATAATATTTTTATCTCACTTTTGGCAGGTGAATGAGACTTATGATTGCTGGTATACATTAGGAATTTCCAAACTGAACTTATATTATGATGAGATTTTTAATTGCCAAGCTGACCACCCATCTATGACGGAGATGCTTAAGCGCTATCTTATCCTGTGAGTTAATCATATACTTGAGTATTATTTCATACAATATTTTTTATGTGATATTTATTTGAAATTTCTACCCTTCTGCACCAATTTTGTCTAATAGATTCAAGGTATTGTTGCTCTAATACATTACCATTCCATTGTTGCTTCATTTAAATGAATTATACTAGAAATGCTTATCCTAAATTAATATGTAGGCTAGTAATGAGAAACCATCAAAATTACAGTGAGGTTGAATCTATATTACATGGCCTGGGATTGTGTGTACTGAGCCTTTATTATTAATTTAATGAGCTCCTATTTTGCTATGAGCCTTTGTATGTATGATTTGCCATTTAAGATTTTAATATTTGGTACCATCTATGCGATAGCGAACATAAACTTGTGGGTCCCACTCAAGAAACGAAAATGAGACCCAGAAAATATGTAACGAAGAATGAAGGAAACAGGTATAAAGCAAACAAACACTTAACATCCTATTTTTCTTTTTCAATTTTGTAGGTCAACAGAGATGATAATGTCGTGGTTTTATCCAATGGGTGGTCGAGGGCGAAAAAGGTATATAAGAAAGGAAACCATAGCCGGAGCCGTTACTGGTTTCTTGACTTCCTTGCTCACCATTGCCTTGGGCAGAATTCTATATCTACTCAAAACTCATATTGTTGGCATGTGTTGGGTAAGGATGCAACCCCTGACTATCTATTTAGTCCGTCTAAAACGAGCCTGTTTTCTTGTAGCATATTTTTCTTTTGTGAGTTGGTTAGCAATTCAGTATTGGGGAAAGCTCGGTCTCCTGGACATCTTTGGTGCTCATACATAGATGAGATAATATATGCAGCACTTGGTTTTTGTAGAAGTGCTAGTTCTTCACAAAAGTTGTAGTGTCAAATAAGAGTACAATGCCTGAATCAAGTATCGGATGTACAGAAAATAGAACCAACGCCTCAAGAAGGTTGTTTGAAAGAAAAGCGCGTTTGAGTTCACCCATCAAGAGACCCTTCTAATGCATCACTCTGTATGTAGGTATCCTTTTATAACTTAATGTAGCATTGCTTTAAACTGAATAAGTTTACATTGTTATTAGGGCTTGTTAACCTACTGCTGACCAACCACCTATCCTGCCAGCATTATTATTTCATTTACCGGGTCAGCACAAGATGGTCAAGGTATTCTATCATTAAGCACTTGCTACAAAACACTTGGTAAGCATTTTGTGGTCAGCACTTACCTGGTTGACGCTTAGGGGTTGTTTACTTGCGGCTTAATTAGGCTTATTGGTCTATCTGGCTTATTCGCACAGCTCATTTTGGTTGTTTACTAACGGCTTATTCGCACAGATATAACAAAAATGACACCCCTACCCCTTATTTAAAGCACCGCCTCATTCCCATATGAGACACCCCATCTTCGGTCTCTATGATTTTTTCTTTTGATGTTCAAATAATTAATATTGGAGGGTAAATCAGTCATTTATGTTATTCAAACTGTTGATTCATATAAAAAAAGTAAAGAACAACACCCATTTATCCATACAAGACTTAATAAAAAATTTGGTAAACAGTTACCCAATTTGTGTTGGTAAATGACCCCTTAGCTTCACTTTAAAGTATGGTTGATTACAATATAACTTCACAATTTGACATCCACGTCATTAGTGGCTACTTGATCTATCGCTTACCAGTCAAAATGGATATAAAACAGGAAAAATTAAACGTTCACTACATTAATAGAGAAAATAATCATTGTTACACTAAATACGAACTAAAACAAAACTTGTTACATTTTGATGCATTTAACCCTTAATATGGCTTCAATTTCTGTTACAATCCATGCCATATACATATATGATTCATTGATACATGTAAAACAACTGTCATATACATCATTCTTTTTTAGCACATCATTTGGTCATTTTTGATCCCCTTAGTTTGCAATTGAACATCTTTACTGCATAGCTAGAAGCTTGGTGTTCTAAGGAGTAAACCGAAATCTGCGTATTTTAGTTTCTGCTGTAATTCTAATCATGTCAAAGAAAACTTTATCGATTTCCGGGGGAATACCGAAAGCTGGAAAAGCAAAGATTGATCACATGTTATCTTGTTGAGATAAGATCCTCTCGATCTCTTCTAAAAGACGCTCCTTTTCATCTCCCATATCCTCATTCTGTTTCTGTAGCTCTTCAATCTGCTTAGTCTGTTCAGAATCCTTTCTGAAATGTAGTATTATATAACTTGTTATGAAGTGCCACTCATAGGATTGTATGTGCTTCATTCAATGTGTACACGATTACGTAGAGTAATGTGTATTTATACCTGTTCATGAAAGCCAAGTTAAGTTTTAGTGACCGCACTTCCTTCTCAAGATTCTCACACCGCTTCAAAATAGACTGCATGTCTGATGAAGTTGTGGGTGTTTGAGTTCTTTCCTTTGCTTCTGCCATTCTACATCACCAAAAAGCATCCATGAGAACGGAAACCTGATTTGCTGACGGGGTATTCAGGAAAATGACTTTCTGATAAATTTAAGATCGCTTCTGCCTAACAGAAGAATGACTCTGCCTAACACATGAGTGCTTTAAAATCTTATAAAAGGTCATGCATTTAAAAAAATATGTCAAAAGATTATTCTTCTTAATAACCTCTCGGGTCCATTGGTTAAATGATCTTCTGACATGTTTCTTTTAAATCCATGATATCTGACATCTGACAGGTTTTTATGCATTCTTGTATATAGAAATAGTATACAAATTCTTGTATATGGCGGTGAAAGGTCATGGATTTAAAAGAACTTGTTCGAAGGTCAGTTAACCAATAGACCCTCCTATACTTGTAAAAGAAACCTTTCATCAACCAATGTGCATATATTGCACTATTTGACCTGGGCAATCCCGATATAGAAACAAGAGGTGTCAAATCTTTTGCATACGGAAACTTTTTGTTGCTAAAGGTGATCGAAAAGGAAAATCTGTAAGCAAGATGGGATGCTTCCGAAAGGTGCAGAGATGATGGTACATACTTTCGTGATCTTTCCACCCTGCGTTTCTTTGTGGGATCTCCTCTCTCTGCACCTTAGTTAACAAAATCACAGGATATCGCACTTCTTAAGTAGAAATAAAAATAAGAATGTTGAAGAATAAAAACGGAAATGAATTACAAAAAAACCAAACCAAATAGGTTTGGTAAATCCAATGAAGAGATAGGGTCTATAGAGGGTAAAATGCATGCATATCTATCTTTACCTCAAGAGGTAGAGAAGTTGTTTCTACAGAACCTCCGACTTGCAGACCAATAGATAAAACAAGCAAGTAATACATGTGTAAATGCAGTATCTGACTATCTGGTAAAGGCTCATTCTATTGCATCAACACAGACATAATTTATGGTTTCCAATTTCATTTATTTACGATGATGACACAAGATGGTAGAAATGTATAAATTGTTGTGTATACTAAAACCATCACCATCAAATAATTTGTATGGAAACACAAGTAGTAATAGCTTTAGAACTTGATGAAAGGGAAATGTTGTGGTTGAATAAGACACCTCAAAAAGATATTGTTGTGATATTGGAAGGGAACATAACATAATAATTAACTGGATAGTCTTTTGGGGTGCATTTGGTACATGAGACTGGATAAGACAAGACAAAATTCATTGTCTCATATTTGATGTGACATGAAACAACACAAAAACTTACTGTTCCACGTTTGACACGACATGAGATATGGATTGTGTGGGATAAAAAAGAAGCTTCTTTTTGTTCCACCAAAAACAAGAACGAGTAATTGACCTACTTACAGATGTTAAAAAACTATTAAAGCCAAACCAAAAAACCAAATATATTTCGTTGGTGGTAAGATCTGGAGGATAAGATGTATGCACAGATCGTTCCTCTACCTCAAGAGGCAATTTCTGGAAAGACCCAGCTTGCAAAAAAGATTTGGAATGCAAAACTAGAAGCTCCAATTCCGAATTCAAGTTTACCTGAGGCAGCCGATGTCACTGATCCATGTCGACTTAAATTTCCTTTATTCTGCAAATATACAACCGACAAAAATTTCGCAGGTAAAACAATTTTCTTCTACCCGAATTTTGTGAAAGCATTATATATTATCCTATTCATCGTGAAAAAAGAAAGAACCCGCTTTAAAATCTGTTGGGAATTTAAAGACAAAAAATTGGCATTCGGGCTAGAAGTAGCCATTCTACAAGGAAAACATGTATATGTTGTGTGGTGCAAGTGAAGGCAAACCTTTTGATCTTCTTTAAGGTTGCCGTACACGCGCTCCCTGATATCTGTAATGTAAAAGAGAATAAATATGTTCAGTCATTTCTATCGAATTTAAATGAGATGCTTAATTGCTTAACCAAAAGGGCAAATTGCATGAAAATGCAACGTACCTTGGTTTGATTCCTATTCTGTGTAACATACTTTTAAAGTCTTCATTTTGGTATACCTCAGATGCGACATCTCAAACATTAAGGGACCTAATTTACATATGAGAATGCATGAAAATACAACATACTTTGGTTTGATTCCTATTTTCTTTAACGTAATCTGGTCTATGTGCTTACCAAAATGAAAGTTTTAAAAGTACGTTACACAAAATAGGAATAAGGCCAAAGTACATGTAATTTTCCCCTTAACTAAATTAGCACTAGTCATTTTAATTTCCAGATCACTGCTTATTAGAGTTGGGTTCTTGTGGAACCGTCTAAAGACACAAAAACACAATGTAACTTCACAGCAAAAACACTTCACAATGTTTTTGTTATTTTTGCTATGAAAGGTTCGGTGTTTTTTGGTACCTTAACAGCAGTGTTTTTTGCTGTGAAAGTTCAATGTAATTTTAGGGTCTCACGAAAATAGGCTTGTCTCACATGACATGATCCCAAGTTCGGCTTATTACGTGCGTTACCTGCACCTTTAGCTACACAGCCATTTTCTGTACTTTTTGCATTTCCAACTTGCTTCCGGGGACTCTCACAAACACTCGGTGATTGACCTGAGTTACTGGGACCATCCGATACATCAAAACCAGTTGAGATTACAGGTGCAGCAGCAGAAGATTCACTTTGTGAAGGTTCTTGAGATGCAATATTCATCTGGATCAGATTTGTGGGGGCCATAAAACATGCCAGGTCAGCATACTCGGGATCCTTGATGCCAGCAGTTGTTAAATCTTGGAACGTTCCTCCCTGTGCCTCGTGCATATGGATTTCACGAACTTGATTCATATGTGAATAAGCAAAGACTTCTTGACCACCGTGATATCCAAAAGAACTATCCTCAATTGCTTCTTTGTCAACATGGTTGCCAAGCTTCTTGCGTTCTAACGTACCCTTTAGCATGCTCACAACCGAAGAAACCTTATCAATGGGACCCACTTTTGGGGCGCTAAAAGTAGACGACGATGAATCCTCCTTGAATTCATTGACGAAATCTTGTTTCAATTGGTTGATTCGAAGCGCAGATGCATTATGCATTGCTTCTATACCGATTGCTGTCTGTGAGTTCTGCATTGCAACATACTTCCTCCTGCAAACAGTGTATATCCATACTGTATTATAAAGTATTTAAGTAAAAGTCTCGTAAAACAACTTATTAAACAATAGATATTACTTGGTAGTTGGTAATGTATAACAAGCTTACAAGTAATTATTGCATACGTACAATTTTTTTAAACTCTGTAAAACTAACTGATAAACATGTTCAGATACAGCACAATCACTGAGCCCTACTAATGAATAGACTACGGGGTTATTTGTTTACCTCTTAATAGTTTCATCAAGAGGCAACCTCTGAATCATTTAGAGGTGAATCTTATTTGCCAAAAAAAATGTCTGCCTTTTAATGGTTCTAAAACCCTATGAATGATTTTATATCCTGGAACTCCCTTAACCATTAAGATCCCTAATTTCATTGTACACAATAACCAAACAATTATATTTCATTTTGCACTATATCGTTAGAGCCTCTTAATCATTCTGACCACCTAATCATTCTGCACCAAACCATTCAGCAATTGCCAAACAGCCCCTACATCATCATTATCTTTATCCACAAAAAATACACCAATCAAACTAAAATAAGTTACATTTTTATTGTTAAATCAAAAATATTTAAATTATAATGAAATTTTGAATTAAACAACTTATACCAAGAAAACGAGAATTTTATAATATTTAATTTGATACCAATATCAATATATTTTCTTTCGGATGTTTTTACCATGTAGGCATGTTCAACCCATCACTTGTGAATTCTTTTTATTTACACACAAATTATGGATTTTCGTTTTTAATAAAAAAATTGCATTAATTTTCTGTTCTCGATTTACAGTAAAATATTCTATCACGTTGCATTACGTGGGTAAACAGCTATTTAATACGTAAATCGTAGAAAATTGTCCGAGCCTTAATACCTTAATTCAGATGATCTACTTCTTGTCATTGGCTGAGAACTATTAAACCATGCCTGCATGAAAACTGAGACATGAGATCTCCCAAAACCCCTTGATTGATGTTTGTACATAATTTAAATACAAGCAAAAAACCTTAGCCAAGAATAAGTTGCTATCCTGCAACCCCTTTTCTGCCAAATTCCTGATGACATTTCCAAAATTAAATCAATATCCGGTGTATAGTTCAAGATATAAATATCGATGGCTGTCATTTGAACGATAAATAGTCTTAGAATGATGTAATTGCTGCAAGTCAAAAGCCAATTCTTTAAATCTATGTGGTGAGCTTAGATGCTGTAGAAACTAGAGGCGAAACGAGCAATAATCATAGCATACAATGTGACTATGATTTGCCTTGTATAAAAGCTTACGATAAATTGCGTACCACTAGTTGTGTACCCATGCGTTTGCAGCAGGATGTAAGATTTGATGGAAAATTAATGCAAGTTTTCATTAAAAAAGCCGAAATTTATGTTGAACAAAACATAAACTAGTAGTGGTGGTTGAAAATGTGTTTATCAGTTTGTCATTAGTTAGTTTTATGGAGTTCCATGAATTTTAATGAACTTGTATGCATGAAGTAATTAATAAGAGAGATCTATTAATCAATAGTAATGAATGCGTTAAGAGTTGTTTTTAAGACTTTGAGCAAAGTACTTTATAATATAGTATAGATTAGACCTTAATTACCTGACTGAATGTTCATTCATCCCACATGAGGATTCACCAACAGCCAAAGTACTTTATAATATAGTATAAATTAAGACCTTAATTACCTGACTGAATGTTCATTCATCCCACATGAGGATTCACCAACAGCCAAAGTACTTTGGGGTGTTAGGTTCTCACTACTTCTCTTTGTTGGATGCAGATCCCCATTAGCTTGATCAGTTAGCATCCTGCATTGCATAGGGGCAGAGAAGTAATAAGAACGATAATTTATTAGAGAAAAATGTATCCGATATGACAGATTGGTGCTATTTAATCGATGAAATCATGAGATGGGGAGAATCAACTGACCTTGACAGTTGTCGAGGACGATTATGAACTAAGCCTGTTGAATTATGGCCTTGATTCTGGTAATCAAAATTGTATATGGTTTAGAAAACAAGAAAAGGATTAAAAGTAATGAAATTAAAAGTATACCAAAAAGACAAAGATGAGAATGAATCAACCCCTTAAAGTCATAGCCATAGCATCTAACCTTAACTGTTCTATGGATTTTGAATCATCAAGATTATGCATATAAGATCATGCTCGGTTGTTCTTGATTTTCTAACACTAATCCTCTTAAATATTAGCAAAAATTTATAAAATGATGAAAATTTATAATGACTGATATTAATCACTAATCAAGAACACATGAATCTGAAACCCATGATTATTGTAACATCCCCAAGATTTTGGGTATGTTACAAGTGAGTTCAAGTTGAGCGTTACCAATAACTTCCACCATGGTTTTAAGTTGATTTGGAGGTTATTGGGCCAACCTGTTGCTTTGCGTTACAACAATCATAGTAAATATGAACTCTATAAGATTAAAAAGAAGAAGATTACTTCTCCGGTGGTGAGCCAGCTTTTGAAGAGTTCCTCACTATCCGCACGGAAGTTACTAGAAAGATTCTTAAATCCCAGCATCTCCATGGTTGGTGCTGGTATTCCAACCGAACTTTCCATCATCGTTCTTATGAACATATCCTCACTAGTGTTTCTGTACAAGTCTGAATAAACTCTTCCCTCCATCTCCATACAACCCTTTCCTGTTTCACCTTCTGTTGATCATCGATCATAATCAAAAAACAACTAAACGATTCCAAAACATAGAAGCTGAAATAAATATAAAAGCTTTCCAAATTTCAGCAAAACTAACCGAGAGTCTATCCCAGCAAATCTTCAATTATTTATAACACAACATCTTAAACAACTAGCCGATATAAGCTTGGGCAGGACAGATTGTTCTGCATCTGTTCTCTTCTGCTGGCACTTGAATGACAAATACATAAAGCCATGGATGATCGCTAAACCATCGTCAAGGAAGATTTAATTAACCATCCACAAGTCAAACCCAATAATAACTAGGATTAGTAATTACAAAAATTCTACGTAATCAAAGTTATGCTACAGGATTTACGCGTATATTTCCGGTCAAGACAATCATCAAACACCTAGTGAGCACATTAAATAACCCAAATCATGGGACCAACGACCACGACTTCTCCCAAGATTCCTTCTATCGTATGTTTGTCTTTTCTATTGCAACTTCAAACTGCAGTCCATTATAATTAAAAAGATTAGAAAACAAAAAATATTAAATTTTTATAAATAAATTTTAGAACTTCATTACAAGTAACAAAACCAAGATCTATAGTAATTTTATAGAACGAGATAGAACACTTAAAACCCGGAATCTCAACCAAACCAAGACCCCCGTCATGAGTCTACCCATATGTTCAAAGCCCAATTGTAGAGAAAGCCTCGTAAACTCTCTAAAATTTCTTTACAATGGAGGAAAACCTCCGACCTCACATATAATTTCCAACACTTGAAACTGCAGTCCAATATACTGTCCAGAATATAGATTTAACTACAAGTCATAGAGAATCTTACACTAAATACAACCATAATCATAGATGTTTTTCAAACCAAATTATAGTTATAAGCTGATTTTCTTCACAGAACAAGTGTCACAAGCTTTCAGATAACAAGATCATGACCATGAACTGTTTTGATCAAGTTCTATGATGGTTTATGTCGATAACATGAATGATTCTGTCATCCCTCGTATAGAATTCTTACACTATACACAAGTATGAACATGCATGATGTACCAATGATTGATTCAATAAAAAAAAGGCAACTGGGAAAGATTGGAGATTAAAAAATGAGGAACATTAGGCACCGAAAAGGGAGAAATTTGTTGGGTCTAGTAAGAAGAGCATGATGATGATAGCCATGAAAAGGATGTGTACGATTGCCGATTAAAGACACTGTCTTTTTAAAATGGAGTTGTTTAAAGGGCGTTTTCAATTGGGGTTTTTTTATATAAAATCAACTTGTAATTAGGGTTTCTCAAGATTTCTTTGATCATCAAGGCGGCAAAAATTTTACACCCTCTACTTTGATTGATTTCTTGGTTACCCCCCTTGAATATGAAAATAGACAGACAACCCCCTTTTACCATCCAAAACATATATATATATATATACACACATTAAAATATAGCTTAAAAGTCTGATGCAAGTACTTTTATGTAATTAGTGTGGGGTGCATGTGGGTTTGGTTGCTGCCCATTGGTTAGGGTTTATATATTGCATAAAATGGAGATGGTTTTGTGATTTGATGTTTTTGGAATACTTGAGTTCGTAATAACCAATCATATAATCCAGATACTTGTCTTTTATTATTTAAGTATATAATATTTATATACAGTAATACTCATGTACACTTTTAATTTTAATAGGGTTTGAATTAGTGATGGCCAAAAACCGGATCCGGGCCGGGCTGGTCCCTACCGGGCCTAAAGAATCCCATAACCGGCCGTAACCAGTCCTTCTATAACCGGTCCCGGTTCCGATCAAAATACTCAAGACTGGTCACAGCAACCTATAACCGGTTATGCCAAGCCGGTCCCGGTCCCAACCGGTCCTATTCAAAAAAAAATGTTTTTTTTTGTTTTTCTTTTTTTTTTTTTAATTTTTTATGATATATATTTTTAATATGTTATTAATATATTTTTAATATGTTATTAAATTTGTTTTGTTATAAATACGTTTAAAAATACGTTTTATTATAATTAAAATTATATTGTTTTACAAAAAATTATTATTAAATTATTTGAAAATATATTTATTCATCAATCTTCATCGATATCTCATGTCGGATTAATTTGAAGAGTTCTGGTCTCTTGAATTCTTCTAATAGCCTCTTGGTCATCAATGTCGAGTTCCTCATCATTGTCATATTGTGAGTAAGTATCGTCGGTATCGGTAGTTGACGGCGTGTTTAGTCCCATGGAGATTTCATTTTCTTCCAGATTTTCTTTCACCGCTTCAATCTCCATCTCTAACGATGTCGTGTGTTGAATCCTATCAACGCTATCCAAATAATCTTTCAAGCATATGCAACACTCCACGGACTCCGGGCTTAGTCTTGTCCGACGTATCGAAATGATCGTGCCACTAAGAGAAAAAGCAGACTCCTAAGCTACGGTACTAGCTTGGATTGTTAGTACATCACGTGCAATGCACGCCAAAATCGGGAATTGAGGTTGTTTTTGTTTCCAAAAATCTAATAAATCGTTTTTTTCAAAATCTTCGACATCATTTGCGGGGCACCGTAAAGTTAGTATGCACATGCATATTTAGTTCACCCAAATCGTTATCATCTCGATTTTTTTTACTTGATTCATTTAAAACATCGTTCACTAAATTAGTCATCAACTTTTTACGACTTTGTCGATGACCACTAGAACTTGGGCAACTTGTTCGTTTGATGCTTGTTAACCGACCATTTTGTAAGACAAAGAGAGAAAGAAACGAGAATTGTGAAGTGGAAACGAGAAATTAATACGAGTTGAATTCACAAAATATAGCGAGAAATCGAGAATTGAGAACGTTTTTTGCGTTTTTGAAGAAGAGAGGAAGTTGATATGTTTACTTGGGAGTGAAATGCATATTTATAGTGAATTGATAGCAAAAACTTCCCAAAAAATGGCTAGAAATCGATCCTAACGGCTAGTTTGACTTGTTGACCGGGTCGGGCCGGGCCCATAACCGGTCTCGGTCGGTCTCGGTCCCAAAAACGCCAAAATCAGTAACCGGGTTGTAACCGGCGGTCCTACAACCGGTCCCGAATGGTCCCGGTTTCGGTCCTCCGACGGTCCCGGGCTAGGCCGGTTTGAACATCACTAGTTTGAACCATTAACCTTCCAGAAGACTAGGCTCTTTAGCTAACTCGGGTTCTGCTAGGTTTACATCAAGTACATGCACAATCTTATAGATACATAACATTCTTGTTAACTTCATATTTGAAGGACAAAAAGGAAAGAGACGGACAGACTCGTAAACTCACCACATGCACGCACAACAATTATATCTCAATAGAGTAGTCTAGTAGCGTACGTAATATGAGAATATATGAAACTCTAATTGGAAAAAAAAAACGACTAGTCTAGCCCATTTTATGTGTGTCTGTGTGTACATGGACTGCTCTTGTATTATCGTACCAGGTACATTTTCTCAGTGTTTAACCTTTTACCCAAATATATAGAAGACTTGAAATGCATAACAGATCAATTGAGAATATATCAATTGTATTATGCAACCAAATGCAATGGTGAAAATCGAAGCCAAAAGCTTCTAGTTGCAAAAGCAATATTAACTGTGAGAACCAATATTAACCACAAATCAATAGGTAAATTAGAAAATTTATAAATTTGGTAATTTTAAATTAAAATCTTAATGCAAGGATATTTTTGGTATTTTAAAACTCTCCTCTCTCCTCTCTTCTCTCTCCGGCCACCGTTCTCCGGCCTCCGGCCACCGTCCTCCAGTGATACCACTATGATACCTAAAAATATTGACTCTGTTAAACAAAAGATATATTGTGATACCTAATCATATATAAGATGCATAGTGATACCACAGTGTTGCATTTTCGATCGACCACACAAACGACATCAATGTGATACCCAAGCACATATATGATGCATTGTGATACCATTGTAATATCACCGGAGGACGGTGGCCGGAGGACGGTGGCCGAAGAGAGAAGAGAGGAGGGAGGAAAGTTGTAAA